GATTCATCAGAACCTGTGATTTTTACCTGATGAGCAAAGGTGGTCTAAGAGCTATTAAATGGGTATCTCTTTTCCTCCTTAGCTCGTTTTGCTCTGCAGTGGTCATGTTTGGGGATAACCTACCAGCCTTGGAAGGGTAAATGGAGATAGGCATGTGAGCGTGTGGATAGAGACTTGTGTGTGGCTTGCGGTTCCTCAGGCACCTGTTTTCTTTCTGCAACTTTGCTTGCCTGTTTTTGAAGACTTGTAAATTCATTGCAAGTTACGGGCTAAAATGAGAGCTTGTGACAAGCCTTGTAAAAAGAATTATGCCTGCTAAGTAGTAACGCGCTCTAAAACTGTCTGCCAGTAGCAGTGGCTGTGAGACAACTTGGTCTGCCTGTTGAGCTGGAATCCCGACATCTCATCCACCTGTTAGCTATGGGCTGAGGCGAGCAGCCAGATGCTTTTCACTGAAATGCTGTTATTTCTGTAGGTACAAAATGTTTATTGCTAAATATGTCCTTTTAAGATACACCAGGTGCTGCAGGGTGGTAAAGGGAGAGCAGATAGACAAGGGGAGCACAGGTGAGGTAGAGAAAGTCCCCCCTGGGGATCACCAGCTGGGTGCAGTGTGGGTGTTGAGTGTTGCTGTTACTGCAATGTGTGGTCTAGGAAAGTTCCTGATCCCACCTTTGTGAGTTGCTGTTCAAGCTGTTGGACATTTAACAGAGCTTAAATTGCCTGAGAAGTTTCCTGACATGTTACCACATTGTCAGTGGTTGCTTTCTATGATTTTGTTTAGTGGCTATAATTCTGTACTTACAAATTTATAATAATTGTAATTGGTATATTTTAATTCTGACACTTTAAGTTAAAAGACTTCGTTAATGAGGGATAAGTGTTTCTGCTTTAATTGTTTAGGTTCCAGAATAAGGTAGCATGTCTTTCTGGTCTTGTTTTGGAGGTGGGCTGTCAGAAGGCATTGGCGTGAATAAGATCTTAGTGATGAGTGGGAATCATTCACATTAAAATTAAACATGTGGTAATCATCCTGATAGTGAAGCTTTCCTCCTTAGTAACTGCTAGCTTGCAGTTAAAGTCTTACCAGGATATATTCCAATATGTTTCTTAAAATACTGGGATTGCAAGGGCAGTCTTAATGACAGCAAATTTAGGACAGCCCTGGTCTTTAATTCTGGGGGTCCCGTGTGACAGCAGTTACAATGAAGATTGCCATTTTGGGGGATTTTCAGGAGAAAATACTGGCAGGTTAATCTGTGACATGTGCCTGATAAGCCTGTTTGCTCTTAGAGGCAGATGTGTATCTTTTTGTTAACTTTTTTAAAAAATGTGTTGTTTTTCTGTGTGTATTTGAAGGGTGCAAACAGCTATGGACAACTTGGTCTTGGTCATAAAGAGGATGTGCTGGTACCTCAGTCACTGAAAGATGTTTCCTGCAAATGTCAAGACATTAAAAGCATTACTGGAGGAGGGGGACATTCTGCAGTTATCACTGGTAAAAACATTGCACTTGCAAGGAGTGTATGTCTTCTAAACACAATTTTTTTTTTGTGTTTCTCTGTTTCCCTGCTGATTTGGTGCTGCCACCTATCTGTGGCTTCTGTTTCTGAGCAAGTACCAGTTCTTAGTTGCAAAACAGGTTTCTCCCATGCCAATTAACTCAATATTTTGAGGGAATTGGGGAAATTCCTGGTTTTTGTATCTGCTGTGGTTGCTTTGTGGCTATGTGAGGACTGTTTCTTAACCTGTTTCATATAACAGCTTTTCATACAAAGCAGGTAATTTTTCTGTATACAGGATATTGGGGGGTATGAGAGAGGAGTCAAGTGGGAGGCTGTTCAGTCTTAGGAAGCTTTAAGGTAAGGAGCAGAAGATAACATCTGGTCTTTGAAAGGTTCTGCTATAAGGTGTAGCTAATTATGGGAAAGAAGGGATACAGGCAGTTGTGAAGGGGATGAAAAACTTCATCACAGATCTTAGTAGGAGGTTCCTGTTGTACCGTATGGATTGTCTCCCTTGACAAACTCAACTCTCCATAGCTGTGCTTATTCAGAGGTATTTCTGATGCATCAGAAGTAACTGTTTCTCTTTCTTTTTGCTTGACTGCAGTGCCTAAAATGACATGTAATCACTGTCGTTATTTGTCACAAGATCTCATGGCACGTGTGCTTGTCTTTTTAGTCTGTGAAGTGGAACATGATTTTTTCATTTTGTTTTATCTTCTCTTCCAGGTGCAGGAGAACTCTTTGTATGTGGCTGTAACAAAGACGGGCAGTTGGGACTGAATCACACCAAGGATGTACTGCATTTTACTTTGTGCACTGCCCTGTCTGGCTTCTGTGTAAAACAAGTTGCCTGTGGCTGGGATTTTACAATCATATTAGTAGGTAAATCTGTCTCTGTAAGAGCTGGAGAAATACGTTGATGTAGAGAATACACCGGAAGTTGCACATTGCTATTGCTTGTGCGATACACAGGCACCTACAGGTTTTAGCTACTTGCTTTGCAAACTGATTTCCTCCATGTTCCTTGTATCCAATTGAACTTCAGACCTTTACTGAACATGATGTGTAAGACCAGAAGCCTGTGGCCTTAGGGCCTTTGGAATGGGACGTTAGGTCCTTTTCTGAGCTACTTGGCTGTGATGTTTTGCTTGTTGAAATGTTACAGTGCTTTGCTTTTGCTCACAGATTTACTGATTGGGCTCTAACACTTCATTTTGCAGGATCTGGTCTAGTTCTGTCCTGTGGGTCTAACTCTTTTGGACAATTAGGCGTTCCACAGATGTCAAGTCCGTGCTTGATTCCGCAAAAGATCGAGGTAAAGATTTAAAAGGAATTGCGCTTCAGAGCTCTGTGCTTTATGTTGCTTCCAGC